ATAACAACAACAGAAAAACAAAACAAAGCTAAAGCAGAAAGAAGACTCAGATGTTAGGGCCTGAAGCTGTCTGCTTTTTCCTGGGTTCATAAAATGAAAACTTAAAACTAAGGGTCAAAAATGCTCATTCTGTAGCCATAATAACAATTTAGTAACCTACTCAGGAAGGTGTCCAAATATCCACCAAAACCAACTGCTGAACCTAAGGGATCTCTTTTCCCTGACTGTAGACTGGCAAAACATCAATGGCAATGTAAATACAACAGTTGCTACTACTACCCTCATATCTCAGGTACCACTGTGGTCCCAGGAACAAAGAAAAAAAGTGTTTGTAACTCTGGCTACTTGCCTTTTTTCAAAAAAAGAAGAAAAAAAAAAAAAGAGAGAGAGATGGGGTCAGGCTAGTCCTCAACTCAAGTGATACTCCTGCCTCAGTCTCCCAAGTAGCTGGGACTACAGGCATGCATCACAGCTCCCGCTCTCACTTGTCTTTTGAGACTGAGCTCTTGAGTTACTTTTTCTAGGAAATCCTTCTTGACTTCTGTTGCTGAGTGAGGTCATCATTGCTTTCAGAATATCCTGTGCATTTTGCCATCACCAGGTGCCTATTTATATTATTTTTGTAGTTATCTGTTTAGGTATCTCTCATAGCTCAGTGAACTGTGAGCTCCTGGACTGTCCTACATCTTAATATTCTAAGTACCTAAACTACTCTTTGGTCTACAGGAAGTACTAAATGAATGTTTAATGATGTAATGAAGAAAAAAATGAATGAATACAAAAGTCTGTTACCCCTTTCTACTGAACACCCACAGCTCATCAAATCAATTATCAAAACAATCCATTAACTCCTCTCAAACATGCTATATTCCCTGTTTCACTTTAATGGCTGCCAGTGGCTCAAGTCAGAAATCTGAACTTTTGATCCTTATTTCACTCTCTCTTTCTCTGGTCCCAATCCAGTAATTGATTAAGTTCTGTCAATTTAATTACCAAGCATTGCTTGAATCCAATCCCCTTCTCTCCAACATTCCAGCCACTCCCTGTTTTCCTCTGCCATGTCTTTGATAGTGTTCAGTTATTATAAAGCCGCCTAAATTGTTCCTCTGTCTAGACCAATTCCCTTTAATGTAGTCTCCACAGAGTAATTTCCAAATGATTTGTTTTAAATGCTATCCTGATTGGCTCACTCTTGCTTAAAACTCTTTACTAGTTCCTCCTTACCTACAAAATAAAAGACCAAACTCCTCAGAATGTAAAAAAAGATCTTGCCTTTCCTTATCTGTAGCTATTGCCTCCCTTACACTTTAAAATTTCAGAAATATCAGAGTTTATAGAGCCCACATTCCCCAATCCCCAACCCATGCTATGTCATAACACTAGGTCTTTGCCCACGTTGCTCCCTTTAATTTACACTTTCTTTGCCTAACTTCTAATCTTTAAGATACTGATCAGCATTTTCTCCAAGAAGTTGATGCATAAGACTAGGCCAAGTGGCCCTCCTGGGGGTACTATAGAACCCTACACAAGTATCTTTATATGAGATTACATGTTCCACCGGCCAAGAAGATCCTTGAGTGCACATTTTTCATCCTTAATACTTAGCACTGGGCCTCAAACTCCGCAGAAGGTACACGTTTGGTAGCATCATGCTGGAGCACTCCATAGGATTCAAATCTGACTCTGTGGTAAGCAGAATTCTAAGATGACCCTTCTCACCAAGATTTCTGCCCCCTGATTACTCAATCGAACACTAATCTAGGTACTGCTGTGCTGTGAAGGGATTTTATGGTTGTGATTAAAGTCCCAGATCAGTTTAATTTAAGATAAAGAGATTATCCAGTAGGCCTGATCTCATTTTATGAGTTCTTTAAAAGGCAAATCAAGGAGGAGGCAAAAGGGGAAGTCAGAGAGATTTGATGTATGAGAAGGGCTCTATTATATGTCATTGCTATTTTGAGGACAGTGGGGGAGGGGTTAATGTGAGAAGGAATGGGTGGCCTCTAGAGCTGAGGGCAATCACTGGATAACAGCTAACAAGGAATTGGGGACCTCAATCCTACGACCACAAGGAACTAGATTATGGAAACAAATGGAATGAGTTTGGAAGCAGATTTTCTCCAGGAGCCTCCAGATGAAAGCCCAGCCCAACTGATACCTTGGTTTTAGCCTTGTGAGACCCTGAGCAGAGAACTAGCTGAACCCCACCTGGACTTATGACCTATATGATTGTGAGGTAATAAATTTGTGTTGCTGTAAACCAATAAATTTGTCGTAATTTGTTATGCATCAACAGAAAACTAACACAAATCCCATGAGCACATTTACCCACATAACATTTCTAGTTTCTACTGCAAGCAAAATGAAGTCTGCTTGGAATATTTGCCTTTGTTTCTTTTATCTTTTCCCTCAAAGCAAAAATATCTA